AGCATGTTTTATAGGCATGAAATGAAATTAAGCCCCTCCCCCCAAATTAAGGCCTATATTAAAACATGCGAAATGGGGGGAAATGGTGGGGGGGCTTGCCGTTAGGAAGTACTTTTGTTGCACACCCGGATATGGTGCTGCCTGTGTTGACCTCGATACGAAGTGCCCCACCAACGCCAAGGTCAACATCCAAGCCATCGCCACCCGCCCGCCCAAAGATGCAAGGGGGGAGGGGGAATTAAGTCACCCCCGAAAAGACAGCCTAGCCATTTTTTCGGGGCTCAAAAAAAAAAAAAAGACCCGGCCTTATTATATGAGAAACACGGTAGGATCTTGAAGACCTGACTTAGTGCAATGTGTTGGATGAGCCCATTTATAATGATTGGAATGTGAAAATGACTGTTTAGCCTTGGATGTTCTTGTTTATTTATTTAAATGTATTAGCCACCCAACTCTAGTGGAATCAAGGATTGGGTTTTTTTTTTATTTGTTGATGGCTTGTTTTTGGATTTAATCCTATATGGACTGCCCAGTCTCAATTTGTGAAGTGATTATAAACCAAATAAAGACAACTATCTTCTTGCCAAAGTTAAGCACCACAACTCATTCACCCAGTAACTCATTCATGTTGTCTAAACTCTAAAGTACCTTATGTGCACCTTCCTGGAGCCGTTTTCCTCGAGAATAGTAGCCAAGGCCTGCCCATAGTTCATTCACTTCCTAGTCTCAAACAGAAATGAGGGGGGAAAAAACAACCCAAGAAGGATAAGGTCATACGCATAAACTTCCTTTTCCCTTTACAGTTAATAAATGCACGCATATTCATATAGATATATTTAAAATCTTTTTACCTCTAATGAAGCTTCAGCTAAATCCTGCAAGGTTGGCCATTTCTACATCACAAAGAAAAACAGGTGTTTATTTACTGGCTCTGCAAAGCAGAACAAAGGCACAAATCATTCAGAACCCAGAATGCTGGATAATATAAATGTGAATTTGTCACAAAGAAAGGACCTCAGCATCACCTGCATCCAACGATTGTAGTAATTAATTACTGAAGCCACTTGGGTTTGCTGGAGCATGATCTCCGATACCCACACTGTAAGCACAAAAGGAAAACAGCAGCATCAGAGAGTGCTGATTAAAGATACCTAGATCAAGGAAGCATGATAAAAGAGATATGCCTCTTAACAACTATATTAATAAAAAATAATATATAATCAGATACATGTTACCCAAGTCAAACACCAATCAAATCAAAATTGTGTTGATTAGAATTAAGCACATTTTTGACATTTAATATAGTTTGAGACCTCCTGAAAGAGATGAATTATTGCTCTCACCAGCATATGCTCGTCTGTCATCATCAGTTTCAGTTGCAGCCTGCCATAGAAGAACAGAACAGCAAGAATGAAAACCCAATACAACAATTATCTGCTTATTTTAAGAATATTTCTGAACCACTCCTTATTTTTCCATACCAGTTTCCTCCACGGCAGATCTCGTTTACATTTACTGTACCAAGATAGCAGTTTCTTCTGAAAGTCTCGGATTTCAACTGCATCACTGAATGTGTGAAATAAAGGCTGGGAACCTGGCACCTCTGTAGTAAAGAGACATTAACATTTTAAAGTTAGCATTTCTTAGGGCTACATTGAGGGGGCAATCAATCTGGAATTGAACTTTTTTGCAATTTTAGTCTCCAATTTATTAAAATGTGTAAGCAAATAAAAGATTAAGTTAGGAGTGATCACCTCAAGAATATAATAACACTTTAAATTATATTTAATTTTATTCAATACAATCAATAGAATAGAGCTGGAAGGGACCTTGGAGGTCTTCTAGTCCAGCCCACTGCTAAAGCAGGAAACTCTATATCCGTGAGGGTGAACCTATGGCACGTGTGCCAGAAGTGGCACGCAGAGCGACTTCTGCTGGCACATGAGAGGTCACCCCAAAGTGCTCCACTGCGCATGCGCGCACCCCCCACCAGCCAGCTGATTGTCGGGTATCTGCCATGCATGTGTGGGGAGAGATGCATGTGTGGGAGATGCGCATACATGCGCAGAGGCATGCGACGTGCAGGGGGGTTGCATGGGCAGAGGCACGTGGGAGACGCAGGGGGTGTACACGCATTGCATCATGGGTGCAGGCATGCGAGCGTGCACAGTTTTGGCACGCAACGTGGAAAAGGTTCGCCATCACGGCTCTATACCATTTCGGATAGGGCTGTCCAGTCTTTTCTTTAAAACCTCCAGTGATGAAGCACCCACAGTTTCTGAAGGCAAGTTGTTCCACTAATTAATTGTCCTTACTGTTAGATTTCTCCTTAATTCCATGTTGCTTATCTCCTTGATTAGTTTCCCTCCATTGTTTCTTGTCTTGCCTTCTTGGTACTTTGGGAAATAAGCAGACCCCTTCTTCTTCGTGGCAACCCCTCAAATACTGGAATACTGCTATCGTGTCACCCCTAGACCTTCTTTTCTCCAGACTGGCCATAACCAATTCTTCCAACCATTCTTCATGTTTTTGTCTCCAGGCCTTTAACCATCTTAGTTGCTCTTCTTTGCATGTTTCCCCCCCAAAGTCTAAACACCTTTTTTGCAGTGTGGTGACCAAAACTGGATGCAATATTCCAGAGGTGGTTTTAAGACTACCCCTGCATCCATTTTTGGTCACCACATTACAAAAAAGAAGTTGAGACTTTGGAAAAATACAGTACTACATTTGTTATTTGTCTGTTTCTTGAGCATAATCCTTGTGTAGCTCCATTACCTTTGTAAAGTACAAGTCCTTTTTTCACATTTCTTTGATGATTTTTGGATTTTCCCAGATTGCTGCACTTTGACGTTTGGCGTTTACTCATTGCCAAGCTAGGGAAAAGCATAAAGTATATTATTATTAGATTAGATCAAACTCTTTCCAAATCTAAATGTAACAATTTGTGCAATTATCTATATAAATACTCTGAACTGCACCAAATTTAGCATACAAACCAGATAATCCAAATTACAAACTGGGCAATCTGAAAAAATATGCTGCAAGGAGAAATCAGGCGCTACAAACCAGTCTTTTTTTATTCTTGAAAGGGACTCCCCTACTCACATAAGAGAGGTGAACATTCTAAAGCACATACAATGACTTCACAGTGCAAATAAATATTATATATGGCATTATATATGGCCCTGTGGCAACCAAATCTCACTTTTTGAAGAGCGCTATTCCCCTTCAATAATCTAAATTAACGCAGACTATTCTAGCTTTCCATGCCTAACAAAGCCGTTGACTCCTCTCACCACGTGCCAACAACATCCGTGTAGGAGGATTGTTTTGTTCTTACGCCCTCAAAAATGGGACAATTATTAGAAAACAGACGTCCTTTCAAAGGAGGCATACAACGTTTCTTTTTTTCCCCCTTCCCTCTTATCTGTACGGCTCTTTGTAGCCACAGAGCCGTCACGGAAACGCTACCGGCTGACCATGCACACAAACGAAACAAAACACGAACTACACAAAACAGCAGATTGAAAAGGAAAGGGATGTACAACGCCCACCAACCACAGTGCTACTGTAGGAAGCACAAAAGCCCAGTCTCTCCAATGGTTACGGTACTTTTCCTTTTATCGATAAATGTCCCGCTTTGGGCGGAAGTGAAAGTAAAGGACAATTTAAGGATTTTTACCGTACTCACGTGTTTCTTTCCTACAACTGGAGGCTATGCACTTTCTCACGTAATTCTTACTCCGTATACAAAGAGGTGTGCTTCTAATGGAGAGAAGGGACGAGGTTCTTTGCAAGCTGCCCTGCAATTAATATTTCAAGCAGCAAGTAGACCCGAGACTTTAGTTTGTGTTGTTCCGCAGGTTTTGCGATTTGGAGGCGCGGAATTTTAACTCGGCGGTAGCATTGGGGAGGAGCAGAGGCTAACTCTTTTTCCATATCATTTTTATAAATCATACCACCAAGTTTTATTTACGTGGAAGTCACTTTTCTTTTTTTCCCCAGTGACTGATTGAAAAGCTAAGATCTTAGTAGCTAAAGCCTGTTAGGAAAAGAATTAATCCTTGTTAACCTAGTGATGTTCATTTGATGAAAAACAACCAAATGTCAGCATGCCAGTTTATATATAGTGTGACTGAGTGGCTTGATATTATTTTGTAATTCACATATTTTATGCTTATACAGCTGATTTTTTTTTTAAACCCACCGACTTGTTGATAAGACTGCAATGGAAAATCTTTCCTCCCACTTGGCAATTTTTGTAAAAGTCGAAAAGTCCGAATGCCAAGTCCCTTGTCAAGTCCGAATATAATATTTTAAAAAATAGTTTTAAAATACATACTTGCATCTATTCTCGGCTTGTGGGTGGGGAATCTGCTTGCAAAGTTGGCTGTTTGCAAAGTAGCGTTTACCCTAATATGTCGCAAAATGAAAATTTCTGATGGCCTTGGAAGTTAGGTTTTAATTTTAAAAAAATGTGCAGAAAGCACCACAGTTGCTAAACATATTACCCCATCGCGTGCAAAAAACTTTTAAAGCATAATTTGAATGGGACTCCTGTTTAGATGATTTTAAATAACTGCGCTAGCATCCAACGAAAGGCATTTAAATAAACAGCTACACATATGCGCCATCAACAGGGGAAGGACCCCTGAATTCACAACGCGCCGGAAGTTTAAGTGGTATCAACGGCGGACGAATTCTACCAAGCCTTTAAGGGTAATAGAAAATCTTTCTCTCCTATATGGTTTTCCCCAGGCAGTTTAATACCTAGGAACGCAGAGAAGAGAGCTCTGCCGAACGCAGACTGCTGCCGCTTAGACATTGGCCATTGCAATATGACTCTTTTTGTTAGAGCTACCATATCAATCCTGCACAAATCCGGACGACCGGTAGATGGCAGCAAAGAAAATTTCCTGTATCTCTGCCATCTTTGCAGGTCAGACATCTTAACTTTACTTTTTTGAGCTTTGATGGAAGAGACAGTGTAGGTACAGAAAATGTATCAGTTCTTTAAGTTGACTAGTTGGCAACCTTTTGCTTATTTTACTTTTTCACCATGGCTTCCCCAAAACAAAGTTAATACCTGGATTATTAAAATAAGGGATCATATGTTTTTTGTTCCCAACAGCTGTATTATAATGGCCTCTTTAAGGGTGCCTGTCATTGATGTCCAGGATGACAATTTCAAGGAGCTCTGGCCATCCATGCTTTTGGCTATCAAAACTTCCAGCTTTATTGCTGTTGACACAGTGAGTAAAATTGCTCTTTATTGGTTTTAACTTTGGAACAAGAGAAAAGGAAAATTGCAGTCAGACTTATGAGAATAAGGTAAAATTTATCCCTAATTATTTTATGTAGTTGCATCTTTTACTGAAGACTGAAAGTGTTATCTTTATCCATAGGAACTTAGTGGGCTTGGAACAAGGAAGAGTTTGCTGAATCAGTAAGTACTGTGCTACCATTCTTTTTTTTTTAAGTACTATGGTCAAGGACTCAAGGTGATTCCAAATTCTGAATGATCAATTTTTTAATGTTGGGACAAATATTTTTTTTCACAATACTTACTGAATATACTTTTGTCAGATTGTTAGAAGCATTCAATAGCTATAAGATAGAATTGATGACTTGATCAAGATGCGATTATTTAAGCAATTGGCCCTTCTGAAAACATAGACTATGTTAGCTATAGGCATCACTACATGGGTCTAATACTTTTGGCATTGGGGAGGATCTTTGTCATGTTTAAAGTTAGGGGGTGTATTCAGGTTAATGACAAGATTCTGTCATCAGATCAGAAATCATACCGAGTATTGGCAGCTGCTTTATAATGTTCAGGTTATTGGTCCATCTAACCCAATGTAGACAATATTAATGATATTTGCAGGGATTTTCATGCACTCTGCAGATTAAATTCTCTGTCTTTGCTTCTTATTCAGTTACCTAATGTTTCTCACAGGTGCATTGAAGAACGATATAAAGCGGTTTGCAATGCTGCTAAAACACGCTCTGTTTTGTCTCTTGGAGTTGCTTGTTTTAAACACCTTCCTGACAAGGTATGGTGCTCGTTTTGTGTCTAGCCCTCTGTGAGGACAAGAAAATCCTACCTACTGATGGAGAATATATATTGAAGGCAAACCTTATAAATTTAAATATGATGCCTGGTGTTACTAGCATTAGTTTATAAAATTTTTGAATTTTGGGGGTATTATTGTATTCATGTAAAAGAGAGAGAATCCAAATTTATGACAGTTATCCAAAAATAGTAGATTGAAACATAGAAACCTAACAAATATCTTATTCTGTGTCCAGCTTTCTCAATTAAGATTGCTTACTGTAGCTGAAATCAGTGCTGGAGATTCTCTGTGCCCGATAAATATGTGCATGTCATATAAATGTGTATGAATGTATGTATGAGGTAGATCATCCTCCCAATGCAATAATTATGGTCCTCAGTTTCATTGGATTGGCTTTTATTTTGCAGACAGAGAACACATATCTTTCCCAGATCTACAACTTGACCTTGCTGTGTATGGATGATTACATAATTGAACCACAGTCAGTCCAATTCCTGGTGCAACATGGCTTTGACTTCAACAAGCAGTATTCTCAGGGCATTCCCTATCATAGGGGCAATGATAAGGTACAAGGATTCCTTAATTTAAGGACTAAATCTGATGGAAATGAAAGAAACTTGGAAATGGGTTTGGACTTCTTGCCTAGTAGATTAATTTTTTAAAAATTAGCTATTGCAAGGAAAGTTACCAGTAGTAGCATTTTTCTGTGAGATTGGAGACCTTACTGATAAGACCATATTTAGAGGATGCAGTTGTGGGTTCAATGAATGGTTTAGTTGTTAGTTAATAAATGGTAAGCATTGCCTATCCCCGTGATGGCGAACCTATGGCACGCGTGCCAGAGGTGGCACGCAGAGCCATTTGTGCCAGCATGCAAGCTGCAGGCAAACTTAACTCACTGTGCATGTGCGTGCCTCATAGCTGATTTTTGGGTGGTTTGAGGCCTTTTTCGGCCTCCCAGAGGCTTCAGGAAGGCTTCTGCAGGCTTCTGTAGGCTTTTCAGGTCAAAAACTAGGCCCGGAAGTGACGAAACAGGCCTAGCTTTCAGCCTAAAAAGCCTGCAGAAGCCTTCCTGAAGCCTCTGGGAGGCCAAAAAAGGCCTCAAACCGCCCGAACTTCAGCTGTGAGGCGCTTTGCAGGTAAGGGGGCAGTGGGGGTGGGGTGGGGATTGCGCATGCATGCGTATGGGGCATGGGGGGGTGCATTGCCTTCTGGGTGCTGGCATGCGAACACGAGCATGCAAGCACGCACACAATTTTTGGCACAGGAGCCCAAAAAGGTTAGCCACCACTGGCCTATGCAATACTTTAGGTTATATTTTCTTTTGATAATAGGTCTAGAAGAAATAACCTCTGGCATCCCGTTTTGTCTATCCAAATCTAAAGGACTGTCAGAAGAGCACTTTCCGTATTGGGATGCCTAAATAACATTTTTTCCATTTTCTTTACTCACAGGGAAATGAAAATCAGAGTCAAACAATTCGTACTTTTTTCTTGGAAATAATTCGAGCAAGAAAACCTATCATTCTGCACAATGGCCTAATTGATTTAGTTTTCCTCTACCAGTGCTTCTATGCCCACTTACCTGACAATCTGGGCACTTTCACTGCTGACCTTTCAGAGATGTTTCCAGCCGGCATCTATGACACGAAATATGCCTCAGAATTCGAGGCACGCTTTGTAGCTTCTTACCTAGAGTATGCCTATAAGAAGTGGTATGTATCCTTTAATAAATAAATGCTGTAAACACCATGACAGATGGTGGAGTTGCATTACTCCTCTCCTGTTTTTCATTTACATATAAAAAGCTTCCAATAACCATATGACCAAGTAGTCTGAAGTTTAAGAAGATAATTATAATGATTGGTCAGTTTTCAAGCAGCTTATAGATCATTCTGTTTATATGTATATTGGGGGAAAATATTTAAATATAGTACTTTTAATTGTCCTTTTTTAAACTGTTTTTCTTTTGTGAAAATGTGGGAAGGAAAACATCAGAAATAACTTACACAAAATTTTGTGTAAGTTATTTCTGATGAGCCATTTATGATTACCACTGGTTTTATTACTCTTCTGAAATGAATTTTAAAATCTTTTTTCACTCTCTGCTCTGTTGACTATACTGACTCAGAATAAACTAAAGTATGGCACGAATTGTATGCCTATCTGCTTTTTATGTTCTCCGTGTGTCCTAAAAAACACGAGAGGAGACAGGAGTAAACTTGTTAGCATGGTAGAATGAAATAGGAATGATAGGAACTTTTTCTTTTGGTTGACTAACTGGAGGCAAGGGTCATCAGGAAAAATACTAGTGACAATTAGCTGGCAATAGCATTTGTAAAACTCTACTGATAGACAAAGAATGCAGTTCTTCTGTAACTCTGTTCTTCTGTACAACAGCCCTTCTGTATTTATTTTCATCTCGATGGCAATTCTGTATTTGTTTTGAATTGATTTCTCACCCCCGCACCATACCTCTTTTTCTCAATTCTCTAAACCTTTTGTATGATCATGTAAAAGTGAGTCCTGAAAAAATACTGATTATCTCCATACAATTGCTACTATTATACTGCTCTTGAATTTCAGCAAACGAGAAAACTTCAGGTTGAAAGACTCCAACAAACCATATCTCAGCATAGAATTCTGCAGCTATCCTGCCAGCATAGATGCCTATGTTGAATACCGGTTCTGCTCTGTGGCTGATATCAGCCAGGCTCAAACTGACATCGCTACCAAAATTGTCATCTGCCAGCCATTTTCGGTTAAGTATTATTGGGTCTTTCATCTACAGTTTTAGGATCTTAAAAATTGTCTATAAAACCAAATTGGAAATAACAGTTTTAGTGCCTCAAATGTTAGATGCAGACTATAAGGACAAGCTATTTTGGATAAAAGAAGGCTATCTTGTTAGATCAGCCTTTCAGATGTTTTTTTGCCCATTAAAATATGTTACAAAGAAGCCAATTTCTTTTAATTAAATAGGGTTTTTTTTTTTAAAAAAAGAACAAAACAGGAATTTTCGCTTCATTCAGGAAAGAGCTCTCCTTGGGATCCAAGTGAGAAGGTTTAGAATCAGTAGTTATGTATAATACTACTGTCTAGGAAAGATTGACTGGCTTCCAATCATTCCAAGATTCTCAGACATTTTTAAAATCTATCCTAATAGTCCTCCTTCTCCTTCGCAGGCTTATGGCTGGTGCCCAGATGGGTTGAAATGTACACAATCTCACAACATTGATCTAATAATTAATGAGGATGAGAATCAGAAAGAATCGAAGCGGAAGACAAGAAAACAGAAATGGAAACGGCGGAAGAACTTAGCAGAGTCAACAAAAGTTGAACTGAGCAGCCCTGTGAATGATGTACAGTTGGCTTGGGATAAGGAAAAAGGTTCCCCTTCCAAACAGTCTTGCCCTAGTAACTTGATTGCTCCTATTGTAGATAGTGCAGATGCAGAAAATGTGTCTGGTAATGGGGAGACTTCAATGGATGTGGAACAAGAACTAGTTTCCAACAGTGCGGTTGATGCCAATGTTGATGGGAACGCTGCCATTGCCACAGACAGTGAGAGTATCATTTCTTCACCATTCAAAGATTTCCAGCAGGAAAAGGCAATAAGAAGCGAAGGAGCAGAGCCAAAAGTCCAGTTACAGAGTGATTCTGCAGTCACCTCTTTGCCTGTCACAGATACTGTAGCACCATCTAACTGTTCACGGGGGAGTATTCACCGGGCTGGCTTTGATGCCTTCATGACAGGTTACATAATAGCCTACATCCAGATGGTCAAGAATGATAAAGAGAGAGACTCAAATGACGGGCCTTGGTTACCAGACTGCCACAACAAATTGTACCTTAGTGGAAAGTCTGTGCCTCTTCAGATTGTGAAAAGTTTGTTTTCCAAATCTTCCAAAGCCCACAACCAAAAGATGAAATTGGTATGGGACAGTAGTTAGAAGTAAACATCATACTGCTCAGGATCACAGATAATGCTATTACTATCAATTGTTTTCTTGAAGCCGCAATACTCAAACCAGAGCTGCTAAAGAGACATTAATAAGACACGATAGAATATGTGCAGCTGCCTGAATGGATTATGGATTTATTTTTAAATGTTTGTAAAATTATGTATTAAATTTCCTCATTGGAGACAGAACCTTTACACTGTGGATGAAGCATTTCTTCCCCCCTCCCCCAAATACTTAAGAAAGCACTTTCTTTGACAAGGCTGGTGCACAACTTTAAAAATTGTTTCCCATTTGTTGTGTGTTCATGCTCACACAATGCCTCCTGGGGAATGGCAATGCATATATGAGAAGACAGCTGGCATCAGTTTTCAAGCAGCCTTGTAAACTCCCCGCCCCCCCCAAAACAACACAAAAAACCCCCCCCATCCAAAGCCATGCTTTGGTTTTAACCAAGGGAACTGCAGAAAAGCCTTTTTACATGGATTACCTTGCACCATCATCCTAATGTTCATAAGGTCAGGTAGTTGGATCTATTCCCTGCTCTCTATCGTCCATGTCTTCAGCAGATGTTGTGAAATCATTACAGCTCTTCGTGCAATCTAGATGCCTGCTTTATTAGACTTTCCGATTTATAGACTAGTACTAGCATTAGCTGCTTTTCAGAAATCCCAGCTTGTAGAACCTGACCAGAATAGGTAAGAAATGCATTACCCACCTTTTAAAACCCTTCTGCATTTAGGTGAATACTTGAGAACAGTTATTTTAGTTTTTGCTTAACTCATTAAATTTGAAGAATTTAAGCCCCAACTCTACCATAAATATTTTCATATTTTACAGATGTAAATCACCATTAATAGGATTCATTTGGCCTTAGACTAACAAAGGAGACAAGCTTGTCTTTTACTAACAATATAATGTGGAATAAATGATGCATTAACGTACTATCCACACGTATTTGAAAATCTGCACTGAAAGCAAACACCTATTTGAATCATATTCTTTACTGGCAAGAATGAGGTAGAGTTTTCAACAAATCTGAGTTTGTCTAAAAGATATGGAATGCATACTTGAAATTTCTAATCAAACTTTCTGAAATTTTGTGGGACTTTTGTTTTGGATAATGAGAATGCAAACGTTGAGTACCAAATATAAGTCCCATCTATTTTTATAGCAGTCCAAAAGAGATTGCAGTCATCTAAATCCACTACAAAGCTCTCAAGGCTTCAGAAATCTAACTGAATCTGGCCTACCGTAACAGGTGATCATTGATTTTCTTGTACTAGTTTGTCATTAGCAAGCAGCTGGTTGTCTCTTCTCTTTCTGGATATCCTTTTGGAATCACGCTTTGTCCTTAAATGTGATTTATATTATATTGCTTGTATATTATACCCCTTAAGATGGGGTAACAAAAAGTTAAGGAAAAGATAAAGAATTTATGCCAAATTGGGGATTTTCCCCACAGTTCTACTGCAGCCTTATTTTTCTAATGCAAATTAAGCTACTTAACTGTTGAGAAGAAACATTAATGCAGGGTGGAGTTACAAATCAACTTAAGACCATAGGCTCTGAGTCCCATTCTAGTATAATAATTCAAAAGGATATCTTATTCTCTGCCATCATCAATCTTTGTTGAAATAAAATATTGGTGTTTCCCTTATTAAATAATGTTTAGTTTTTTTGTATAAAAATATTTGACAAACTGGAGGCTTTTTATCAGTTAATTTATTGTGCCAAGTCTTCTTGCAATACAGATCATCAAAGTTATGTATTCCAGTTCCACACAACAAAACAGTAATGAGATCTCTTGGAAGCTAAAAAATGATTTTTTATTAGTCTTATCTGTTCCAGATACATTGCTTGGAAAGCATTATTTGATAATAACTTTAGTGGGGTCAATAATGTTCAACTTTTTGAAAACTGTTGCTGGGGAGAGCAATGAAGTAGCTAAAGCTTGTCATTAATACCAAGTTAGGGAAAAGAAAGCTCAAGCTAACTGGATAGCTCTAGCCAGATGTTGTCAACATGTGGAATGGACAGCAAAATGACAAAATTTGAAATCAATGTAAAGTGATGCAGCAATAGCACACAAATTTTATGTAAATGTTAATACATATTTTATTCTAGGAAAAACTTTAAAAAGAATTGAATAAAACAATAATTTTGTATTCATCTGTATTGCAAACATATTTGATATTTGAAAGATAACTGTTAATTGTGAAATCGAAAGGTAAAAAGAAGCAACCAAAACAAGAACTGTTTTTGGTATAAGAAAAATGAAAGATTTAGATCTTTTCACTCATTTTTTTCTTCCTTTAAGGAGGTATAGAAATGGGGTGGTAGGTTAAAAGTGGTCAGTAGGTTTTATTGTACATGCCCAGAGTCCCTCTGTGAAGGAGATGGGCAGTTAACTATGATAAATAATTTAAAGAGTAGGGAGAAATTTTTGCTCAAAATAGAACCTTGAATCATTTAGTAAAAGTTTACTGGTAATTCTGTCCTTGACAAATGCAATTAACTTGAAAACTTAAAGGATGCATAGATTACTTGGAAGTAGAAATAACCAAATTAATAAGAGCATTTATCTGTATTGTAAAGGAATTCACAAATGCAAATGCCCCAACAGGACAACTGTCCCATGTTTTGTTACTTGTTTATATGAAAGCATTTAATTTAACAACATGGCATTGGCTTCAGTTATTAGCTTTTTAATATAAGGTAACTGCAGCTTACATACTATGAAATGTGTGTCTTTTCTGGAAACAAATATTCAGATAATCTACCACCATCATTAATTGCTGGTGAATACACAATTGGAAATCTGAAACAAGTGAAAGCACAATAAGGAATTCTTCTGGAATGAGACAAGCTCTTTTGGAATCAGACTTTAACACAAAAAAGTTATCACTTTTACAACAAAATACTGGAATGTGTGAATATTAAGTCAGAATGGATGTTTCCCATTTTATACTGCTCCTTTGCGTCATCAATTTTGTCTTCTCAACCACATATTTGATTTTCTTCTGACAGTGAACTGGGGAATGGTTTACAAAAACTGATAAAGAAAACTTGCAGATATTTTAAACTACGTTTATCTTTGGTTACTTTTTTCAGTTCCAGTGAAATATAGTGTTTATGTAATTCTAAGGTGGAGGGAAATCAGACATGAATCAATACATACAAATCAAGATTTGTTTTCTTTAAACATTCATAAATATCTGAAGTATTAGAAAAATGTTTTTTCAAAAATCCTTTTTCTGGCAGTGTTAAATTATACACATGCTATAAATTTTTTCCCTAAGCTTTAATGACAAAATTTAGCTATTTACAAACAGCAAATATTAAGACATAAAATTCCTTCATAAATATGAAAATAGATCTTATAAAGATCTATAAACCTTAAATCAAATATTTGGCTACCTCAAAGGTTATTTTTGCATAGAAATGTAGTGACATGCAGTATAAACAGCAGCATTAAGTGCAAAGAGGAATTATTCAAGTGTCTAGTTAAACTGGCAACAAATACCAGTGTTCTTGGACAAGATGCAGCAACCAAGAATCTATTGTACACTTTTTTTCTACTCAGATATCAATTTGCTAAATGCATGTATTCACAGTCTTTCATCAGTTGGCCACACGAATAGCCTCTAATATGCTTATTAAATGTAATTTAGACAAAATTAATGAATTAAAAATAGACTGAGGATCTTAGAAGTGTTTTCAGGTGGCTTATCAAAAGCAATAGGCATCTTTGTTAGCAAATCAAACAAAAGCTAAACCATCTAGTATCATTGTGTTTGTACAAATTATGCATTCATTTGGCCACATTCTGTATAGAATACAGATGATGGCCCATAGCTGCTCTGCAATGCTGGCTTTCCATAGGATGTGATAATAACAGTGTTTACTATTGTATATGAGGACAGTTTTACCTTTATGTTTAACCATCCAATAACTGTAGTTATTGCTTTCTCAAGCTCCTACGAAGCCAACTTTTATCAAATTGCAGTCTAGAAAGACTTACTTTGCATCAAGGACCTAGGTTATCACTAACATTCTATTAAGAAGGTAGAGCAACCACAGCAGGAATCCATCATCCCACTTACAATAGAAGGTACCACTTCTTAGAGTCTGTAAAAAAACAGGAAAATACAGGGGGAGGGGGGATGTGACCAGAATAGAAGTAATTTGCCTTCATAAGCAGTAAAAGTGAGAGACTGGAAGGTTACAAGAGTGGAATCTGCAGAGCAAGTTATAAACTAATGCAGGCAAAGAAGTGAAATACTTTCTGGAAGTGAAATGGCCTCTGAGATACATTGCATGCTTGGTGCTTTCCAGAGCTGAGCATAAGTTACATTCATCAATTATTTTGCTTTGGATGGGGTGGAGGAAAATGCTACCAAATTCAAAATGACACCACCTGTTTTAAGTGATTAGATTTTTTTTAATTGTTTAAATAAAGCAGCCTGATAATAACTACTGGGATTCTTTATCACTAACCCTGAAAGAGGAAACAACTAAACTGGAACGTAGTGCTACTTTAGAAATTTTCAAATGAATAATTGAGAAGACAGTATTTTTGTTCTCCAGCTACTGGAAGGAACTTGAGGCTGACATGAATGTCTATAAATAAACATAACTTGCAAACCTGGTCTGCTCAATATTTGTGACTCTTCTTTTATTGCTTCATATTTTGTGAGGATTTGCCTTTTCTACAGTTTAGTTATGAGGAATGAATATGAGGAAATCTATGTTCACCAGAATTAATTTCAAGTGTATTCTAACTAGAGGCAAGATATGTGAGTTTAATACTTTTTATATCATCTGTATTCATTCATATTAAGTTCTGAGCACGTAATGCTGGTCTGGATGTCCAAAGGGACTTTAGTATAGAGATGCTATTTCTGTAGCTTCACTTTAAAATTCGCTTTCCAATTGAGAAATTTCAAACAACCTATCTACAGAATTTATATAAATTGCACACATAGACCATGTTTCTGTGTGAGCTCATAGACTAATTGAAGACATGCATGCAAAACTGGATTTTTAAAATATGTTGAAGAGAATTCTTCCATGCCAAACATTTGATGGTGATACATTTCATGCTTCTATAATAAAGGGAATGAGGTTATTGAAGAAATGAAAATATTCACCTCATTTTGTTTCATGAACAGTTTATTCAGAAACGGAACTCTGCTGTTCCTTCAGTACGTGGCTAATGGAAAATTTCCTTTCCAGCAAATAAAAACTGGACAAGCAACTAATAATTTAAAAGGAATGCCTGAAGTGGGAATATGCTCAATGCCTCCACTGTTAGCAACTGGATTGGAAAAGGTAAGGGAGCTATTGTAGCCAAATCTCATCTTATTTAATAAATTTTAGAGAATTCAGAGCCATAGTCTTCCTGTTTATTTAAAGCAAGAGTGGGGAAATATGTGCAAAACATTCTATTTTGGAACATTTTGATCCAAAATAGGATATTCTGAAAATGAATCAATCCAAAAATGTTTTCTTCCAATCATGGACCAAGTTTTTTTGAGTATTGTAGAAATGGTTTGATACGTTGAACTACTTCCAGAGTAGCTGTTTTTTTTTAAACTGAAATTCCCATGACAGAAAGTCTTGTACAAATATTTGGGTAACCAGTGGTAATAGTGAAATCCAACTCATCAGCCCTTGTTAATGGCCAGAACAGTTGTGGTTGTAGTCCAGTAAGGTCTAAATCAACTGTCTTTAACTTTAAGCAACCTCCAAAAGTATAAACTTCAATTCCCAGAGTATTTCAACAATGGACATTGTTCAGAATACTCGGGTTTAAAATTCATACTTTGAAGGTTGACCAGGATAAGACCAGTTTAGGATGATCTGTCCCCAGGGTACTTGTTATTTTAAATGTAGTCCATATAAATATTTATTGCAGCTTGGCATTTACTGCTAATGAGACAAAGATTTTAAAGGTTCAAGGAGATACTAAGTTCTTAAAAACATTTAACAACCTAAACAGTATGAATAACACAAATAGAAACACAGAGAGATGCCCATAATCCCACTATCTCTATAATTGTGACCCTGCATAAATCAGGCATTCAACAGCAAACCTTATTCCTATATTAGCGTTTTCCTGAGGTATGCTGAAAACTCCTTTCATACATCCTTGCATGCATACAATCTCTCATAATACATCTTAGAATTATCAAATGGACTAGAGAGAGAATTATCAAATGGATTAGAGACATTTGACACAGAAGTTAAAACCAGAGTAGTTAGTGGGAGTGTATCATCATCACCATCATCCAATGGTTGACTTTTAAATGTCACATTTCGGCTGTCCACTTATTGATGCTGATGTGTCTGAAGGCAGCAGAGAAACATTTGAAGTGTCGCTATCTACCACTTCAAGGAAAGTAGAGTCTCTGCCTTGCTGTGAGGAAGGATTAATACTGAGCAACCGTTTAGAAGATTCCAATTTAGCGGAAGGCATATTCCTTTGAGTTTCATCTTCCACCTCCATTTCTTCAGAGGTGGTACAGCTCATGAACATTTCTGGGAATTGATTTTCTGGGTAGTCTAAATTGTGTACTAAGATATTAGCCACTTGGCCAGAAGTGTCTTGCAGCACTTGTCCCTCAGGCTTCCCAAGTTCTGCCTCTTCAACGGAACATTTTACAGAAAACCCATTTTTGTTTGGAGGCTCCAATTCATCAGAACAATCCATTTCCTCCTCTTGCAGAAGTGGAGGATGACGTTGTTTAACCTGAAAAGGAGGGATCTCAGATACACCGTACTTATTACTGCATAGCAGCCTCTGGCGCACCTCAGCCCCTAGCTGGGTGGGATCACAGCTACTGACTGTTGAAGAGAGATCTCCAAATGTATTATAATCTTTATGAACAAATTCTGGAGAAACTGGAAGT